CAGGGAGGGTGAGGCCTTCCATGGGGGATCTTCAAAGTCTGTCCTATCATTTGGAGCAGGACCTATGCCCTCCCCCATGTGTCCAGGCTGAGAGAGTATCCCTATGTGGAATGGGATCCTTAAGTCCATTTGTACACTAGGAATAAATACCGATCCACTACCAGAGGTCCCATAGACTGCCCAGTCCTCCTAACACCCATGTTCAGAGGGTCTAGGTCAGTCCTATGCTGGTTTCCCAGCTATCAGACTGGGGTCTATGAACACTCCCTTTTCAGGTCAGCTGTTTCTGTGGGTTTTTTCAGCCTGTTCTTGACTCCTTTGCTCATCACTCTTCCCTCTCTGCAACTGGATTCCAGGAGTGGAGAATCTATTTTCAATAAAAAAGTGTCTTTTAAAAAAATCAACATTAGGTATGATTTGATTAAAAAAATAGTACAAGCATATAACAAATACACTTTACACATGTATATAGAATCTAAGAGAAGCCAGTTCTTCTTGCCCATGCTTTGAAGATATAAAGAAAAAAAATTTAAGAAATTTAAAATTTTGCAAATGGACTGAAAGAAAGGAAAAAGCATGTATTAGAATCTTTTATAAATTTTTGTTGCTTAGATTTACTATTTTATGTGCATGCATGAAGGAGGCAGAAGAGAGGGCATCAGAGCCCATAGAACTGAAGTTGTAGATAGTTGTAAGCTGCCATGCAGGTTCTGGGAATTTATCTCTGGTTGTCTACAAGATCAACAAGTGATCTTAACCATTGACTCAACTCTCCAGCTCTTAATTGTAGGCATTGTGGTAGGTGTTTTCATATATTATATATATATATATATATATATATACATATATATATATATAATATAATTATTTACATCTCTAGTCCTCATACCAACCTTTTACAAGGGTGTTAATATTTCTGTTTTACAGATGAAGTGATGTAGATATTATGAAGAAAGTAGACATTATGTAATTTCTGCATTCTAAATTCCTAGTACAGAAACTGGAATCTTCATCCTTGTTAAGGAAATGCCTTATTTTGACTAGTTATTATGTTTTGTAGAGGTTTTTGTACTGGTTTATTGATAACAGAATTAATAAAACAGTTTATGTTTTTGTTTATTTTCTACTCCACACCTGTGTCTTCCTTGGAATGTGGTGTTTGTGTGTGTGCTTCCCCTGTCATTAGTGTTTGGCTTATTAATGTGGTGTGTATCTTTTCCAAGTAAAAACTAACCATCATTTGGGGATAGTTATAGATACAATTGCTGATCACTGTGCAAATCGCCTTAGTTAACCAACTAGTCTAATAGAGTGGTTTTATTACCATCTTCATTCAACAAAACTAGGAATAGAGATACGAGTGGATTTGAGCAGATTGGGAGCAGATATTGAGATGATTAGGAATCCACATCTGTGCAAAGACAGAAGTGAAGCAGGACAGAGATAAATTAAACTGTGGTGCATGCTTGACAACCTTGGCTGCTGTGAAATAATCCTTCTGTACACTGTGAATATGTATTGCTCTCAGTTAATAAAAAGCTGACAGGCCAGTAGCTAGGCATAAGTTAGGCAGGAAAGCCAAAGTGAGAATGAGAGGAAGGAGGACGGAGTCAGAAGAGATGCCAGCCAGATGCCAAGAAAGCAGGAGGTAATGAGGTAACAAGTCATGAGACCTGTGGCAATACATAGGTTAATAGAAAGGGGTTAATTTAAGCGTAAGAGTTAGCTAATGAGAAGTCTCTGTTATCAGCTGAGTCAGTTGTTTTGGAAGCAGCTGCCAGTTATTTCGGAGTAGGCAGTTGGGACAGGAAAACTCTACCTACACTTGGCCAATTCAATGATGCTTTCTAGAGCAAGAATGTCACACCAGCATTCTGTGTTGAGTGAAAATAGCAAGTGCTTTGCACACTTCTCTTGGTCCATTGTTGCATGCAGAGCATCAAGAACAGCATGACCTTGGGTAACTCACTTCTCAATGGAGAACACACTGAGGGAGCTAATGTCTGAGGCCTGTGTTAACTGCCATCCCCAGAGCTAAGAGAAAACACATCTGTAGAGGGCAATCTGTGTTGGATATAGGTATCTCTGGGTCTGCCTTGGGCTCTAAGAATTCAAAAAACATGACAACTAGTGAGTATGAAATATTTTCTATCACATGTCAAAAGTTCACCAGTTTCACCAACCAGTCAATTTCTAACCATCCTTTCAATGCAATGTGTCAGAACCACATTTGTATCTTTCCATCTTTTTCAGAAGAGCACTCCAGCCACAGCTCTGTGGAATTTGAACTCAGCAGTTTAAGGTCTGGGTCTAAGCATCAGTCATTTTCTTTTTTTTTTTTTCTGTTTTATATTTATTTTTATTAGTTTTAGAATAATCATATTGTACATACCAATCCCTCCTGCTTCTTTCTGCTACTCCCCCCAATGTATCCCCATCCAACCCACCTCCCATGCGGAATCATCAAAGTCTGTCACATCAAGGTAGGACCAAGGCCCTCCTCCCTGTATCTAGGCTGAGCAAGATAACCCTCCAGGGAATGGGCTCAAAAAGCTAGTTCATACACTAGGGATAAATACTGGTCCCACTGCCAGTGGCCCATAAACTATCCTGGGCACCCAACTGTCACCGACATTCAGGGGGCCTATGGTCTATTGTGGGTTCCCCAGCTGTCAGTCTGGAGTCAGTGAGCTCCAACTTGCTTGGGTCAGTCTGTGGGTTTTCTGGACATGGTCTTGTGAGTCCATCAATTTCTAACATTGCTCAGGCCAATTGTAAAGAGCAGCCATGTCTAGATGCCACTGCTAGCAATAACATTAGTGAGGAAAGCACATACTTTAGAACGATGGATGATGGTTCCAGATGTAGAGTGGGGCTTCTGGTAGAGGTTGTGGAATATTATTTGGGTGTTGGTTAAAATAATCAGGACTAAGAAAGGTCTGATGCTGTCTAATACTTTTGTATTTAAGTCTGTGCCTGCTGCTTTTTTGATCACCTGGAGGAAATAATACATAAGATAAGGTTGCTTTTTAATTCACAGAAGTATCTGAGTCAGCATGGGAGTGGAATAATTTGCTGTGCAAGTCGCTCCTGGGTGTGTTTATAAAGCTAATTTGCATTTTGTCAAATCCTCTTTTACTTTTTGTCATTCAACCTAAAACCAGCAATTCGTGTTTTAAAGTTTATGTTTTAAAAACTGTTCCTAGTATACAAAGAATCACTTCTAAGAATGCAGTAAACTCTTTAAATATGTGCACTGACATGGAAATTACAATTTTCATATCAAATGGTACATGATTATGGGGGGATGATTTGAGATAAAAAGCCTCGTGACTGGGTAAGTTATAAACACAAAGCAATACAGACTTGTTACTGTGCACTGCATTTCTGAATCTGGCTTCCTTTGATTCTTTACTAGACTAAAACCGATTGAGATTCTGTACTACCAGCTGTGAAGGGATAAATAGCCAGACATACTGGTAAAACTATCAGAATGGACATCACTTGAAATCCAGTAGATGTTTTGTAAGATTTTCTTTTTCAAATTTTATCTGTTAAGTCTAGACTCCTTTACATGAAAATAAAGTCATGAGTCTGGGAAGATGCCTCAGTCAGTAAAGTACATGAAGACCTGAGTACAGATCCCCAGAAGGCACATAAGAGCCCAGATAGGGTGGTATCTATTTGTTATCCCAGTGCTGGGGAGTGGTTGAGAGAGGGATAGATTCCTGGAGTTCATGGCCAGTTTACTCCGGTTCAGTGAGAAACCCTGTCTAAAGACTTAAGGTAGAGAATGATTGTGAAAGAAGCCTGACCCATGAACACAGAATGCGCACAGCATGTCTACATTTATTTACAATACACACACCAAAAGCAGAAGAAGGAATAGGAGGAGGAGGAAGGAAAACAACCACCAGGGTAGAGAATTATGAAGTTCTGTACTTGGTAGGCTTTACTTCTGGTTTGGATGGTATCTTAGGCTTTAGGGTGGGTGATTCAGTTTTTTTAAACCTCCTTAGGCCACTTTAGAAGGACAATGAGCCTTGGTTTAACTGCCACAAAAACTGTGCACCCATTCTGAGCAGGGAAAAAGGAATGAGTGGTATAAAGTACACCATAAACAGGGAGCCTCCTTAGCCAGCAGTTCAGCTTCTGAGAACTCTGCAGATTGTATTACCTGGCATGCCTGGGGTACATGGCTATCAATGTTGGTTGGCTAAGTTCCTTACATTCAGGACTAGGGTGTTCATTCATGTTTGTATCTCCAACCACTGTGGCTTATCTGTTTGAGTCAATGAATACACAGTAACTACACTAACTGGAATTTGGCCTTGGATGGACATCGCCAACCTCTGAGGGAAAGATTTCTCAACTTCTTTCAGTGACTACAAATGCACAAGTGATACAAACCAAGCTTTTTCATATGGAATTACGTAAGTTCCTGTTGTTAAATGCTTGTGATTAAATGTGGGCCAGGAACCCACTGCCCCACCCAGCTATCTAATTTAGAACTTTTCCATTTCTTACTTTACTGTTCAATCTAGACAACAACCACATAAAGCATACCAAAAATGGAAGTTTTCCTTAATTGTATTTTGCTTAGAGTTTTAATATTTAGAGAGAACATGTAGCCAGTATTAATGGTGATGGTGTTCCATTGATAGGCATCTCCAGACTGAAGCAGGAGGCCCTGTCTTCTTCTGTTGGTGAAGTACATCCTGTCAGTCATTTTCTCCACAACCCCAGATAAGTCTTCCTTGTTTTCATGTCAGTGAGCATTCTCATCTTACCATGACGTGATGGGGTGGGGGTAGGAGCTCTAAGATACTCTACATAGATGTATCATAATTACAAACCATGAAAAGGGACATGTGTGCTTACCACAGGTACTTTTACCATTATTTTCCCAACCCTGATTTGATCAAAATCTAAAGCTAAAGGCTGGAAACTTAGGTTTATTTCAAGTTTAATTGTTCACATTGAGAAAAACCTCAAGGTGATGTAAGCAGGGTACTAGGGTGGAAGAAGAAGCAGGGACCCAGCTGCTTTGCACATCAGAGGGACTGAAAGTGAAGAGCAGATTGGATCAGCAGCAAAACCACAGCACAGAGCCTCTGTTCACTTGCTTTCACAAAATCATTCAGTCTCTTCGTCCTGTCCTCTCCCACCCGTTCTCATTTCACCCCCTAAGATGCTGCTAGGGTAGATGACACCACCCAGCTCTGAAGATCCCTAGGAGGAAGCAGAACCTTTTGCTTGAGGAGTTTACCTCTACCCAATAGATGCTGGGAATGAAGATACTGCCTGCCATGCTTGGGACTCTAGGGTTATTCAGGGAACTCTTAATCCTCCAGCTGGGCCTTTGGAGCATCCTTGGTAAGTCCCCTCCTAAGAGGACTTCTGGTTTACTTTCTCAATGTTCATGTCCATGATAGTTTTCCTTGTTGAGCTTGCTCAGTGGAGAGGGACGTTTATGTCCACGGTGTAGCTCAGACTATTGCCTTTGCTTCTTGAAAATGCTAGAGGATGTAAGTGAAATCAGAACATGCTTGCTGTTCACCTACCAACAAGAGCAGACACTGAATCCATTGCTTGGCCGAGTTGCCTGATGTCCTGATGGTAAGTAAAGATATTTTAGCAGGTGTTATAAATACTTAAGTACAAATCCATCACTATTACTAATAATAGCTCTATGGCTGCCACACTAATGGGAAAGAAATCCCATGTTTACCCCAAACAGATGTCAGCAGGATGGTGTAGTGCTTAATTGGATGGGAAAGGTGTTACATACCCGAGTTTATAGTTGTGGCCATGATGACTATCAGATAATGTTCAGTCTGGATAAAACCCCTCTGTGTTTCTGTGGGAGGTACTCTGAGAACACCAAATAAGCAGCGTTCTGTGAAGTAGAGGAGTGGAGCTCTAATGGTGCTTCATTTTGTTGGGTGAGATGACTTGTAAGTAGTTGCCAACTGAACATAGGAAACAGTGCTCCACAGGTGACCCTGGCTTATCCCTGCATGGCCTCTTTGTGAACAAAACCTGCATTCCCTTCTCTATCTTGCCACTTCTTGTGACTTTGTGCCTGAAAGGAACCATGCACTGTACAGGGGAAAGGCCTGTGGAATGCTTAGCAGAAGCTCCTTATTCCTTAGTTAATTCTAGGCTGAAGCACATTTGAAGCATTTATTTCCCACCAGAACACATGTATCAGTTTTGCACATTTGTTTTAAATTGGGAAATATAACCACGGAGGTCTTGTGGAATGTCATCTTGGGTTCTAGAACTATGAAGTTTGGAATTTAACTCTGATGTCACCAGACCACACATCTAGAGGGAGAGTGAAACATCTCCTCAGTCATCCAAGCCCTTATTTATTAATAGTCCATTGCATAGCGACAACAAGAGACAAATATTAAAATGATTCTATTTAATTTGAAGGGATCTATGGTAGAGTGGCCTCTGTGGAACAAAATAAATCTGAATTCTGCATCGCAATTTGGATGTAGTCTATATTTCATTCTTCTCCCCTGTGTGCTATAACCTAGTATCCATGCACATAAACTTGGTTATTGGATTGGATCTTTAGTACCTTTGCTACCTACATTATAGATCCAGTTACATTTCTTTTCCTTTCTTAGCTCTCCTTTCATTTAAAAACATATAATAACTATATGATACCCTTTGCTATGGCTATAGTGCCTACCTATGGTAAGTCCATGAAAGTAAATCTTGATACATGTTAATGGAATTTTGTTAATAGTTTTTTTCATTAGTACCTCCCACAAAATCCAATTAAGTGAGAATTTAACATGAACACTTTAAGTAGTTCTGGTTTTAAACTTTGTCATCCTTTTTAAGTTGTCAAATACTGTGTGTGTGTGTGTGTGAAGTGTGATGTAGAGTTACAATACAGGCATATATTATAGGTTACTTAAATCAAGTGGACTAATTTGCCTGGTAGTATGGCTCAGTGGGTAGTGGGTAGAGGTGCCTGCTGCCAAACCAGAAAACTTGATTTCAGTCCCTAGGAAACACATGGTAGAAGGTGAGAACCAACTGTTGCATCTTGAATGTTATCCTCTGACATGTGAGGTATACACACACACACACACACACACACACACAACAATTCCTGTGCATATGATATACAATAAATAAATAAATAAATAAATAAATAAATAAATAAATCCAACAAAATATATTTTAAAAGGATATTGGTTGAGAAAGAAGCATTTGGTGACCTTTGGAAATGTGGCTCAGTGGTAGAGCACGTGCCTAACATCCTTGAGGGCTTAGGGTTTATCCTCAGCACCCTGCTGTCCTCTCCCTCCAAAAGAAGAAAGTAAATAGTACTCTTTGGTAAAAATAAAAAATGTATTATTCTGGACAAAACGTATGGCAGTTCCATCCCTTAAAAATTACACTAATGAGCCTTTATATCTTGAAGAATTCCTGTGACTTCCAATAACTACTGAATTCCTTATAGGAGTGTATTCTCAAACTGTTTAAGAATGGTTTAAACATATTTCCCACAGTTATAGTGATATGAAATGCTCAGGAAATATGCTTTCTGTGTTTGTCAAAAAAGAAAAAAATTAGAGGAACTCTCCCCCAGTTTCAAGAATGTCATTTCTCTCCTGATGGAAATAGAGTATAAACACTGGTGTCTCATAATGCTAGGAAGTTCTGAGTGCAGGTGGAGATTACCACTCATTCAGCTGAGGCTCACCTGAGGACTTCAGCTTGTGTGTGTCTGATCTGGAATAAAGGCAGTGCAAAATCTTTGACTGATCATTGATGGTTGTGATAAAATAGTCATAATAAGGCCCAGTAAAGAGACAACATTTACAGCCTGGCTCCTTTGAGAACACAGTGGATAGAGTCATATTGCCAACTTGGCCTTGACTCTGTCTTCTTTCTCCTGAAGGTGAGCGTTGTGCTGTTTCTGCGTGGAGTCATTTCTAAATTGGGTCCGAGCAGACTGGTGCTTTAAGCCAGTCTATTATCCCTTGACAATACATCATGTCCTCACCCCACTTTAAGACATTTTTATTTTTAAATTTCGTGTATATTGTGTGTATATATTTGTATCTGTATGTTGTGGGTGCACATGAGTCTAGAAAAAGGGATTGGATTCCCTGGTGCTTCAGTTATAGTGGTCATGAGCCACCTGGTATGGATGCTGGGAACTGGATGTGGACCCTCTGGAAGAACAACAGCAAGTGCTCTTACTGGCTGAGTTATTTCTCCTGCTCCTCTCTGACTCATCTTCATGACTCCAGTTAGTCCTGTTGAAAGGTTCACATGGAATACTGGAAACAGAGCTACATCTCTCCCCAAATTCCAAACACATTTTGTGTATCATGAAGTGTCTGGTACTTATGCAAATAGTGAGAAATACACTCTTAGACTTCGGATTTCCTGGATTGAATGCAAACAGATTAAGCCATGTTCTGATTAAATCCTTGACTTGACTCACTAGCATTATGAGCCTCTTTAAATTCCCATCACTTCCTTTCCTGCACTGTAAAATGATCCTCTATTGTATTACTAAAGTTGAAACTATTACCAAATTTCCACGGGACTTTCCTGTTTAACTTCTATTACCTGTATGCTTTGCTGTTACTTGGAGTTCAAAATTTTTGAAAGAAAAATGTTGAAAGTATTTGTAATCAGGATCATATGATGCAATTGACCTTTTGCTTGATTTCTTGGACAAGCTCTGTTACACAATAGTTAAGAATGAGTATCTAAAGACACCTGATCAGTAGCCCATGGCTGTTACTTACTGGTTATGTGACTACAGCAACTCTAGTTCTCAGTTCCTCATCTAAAAAAGAAAGCAGTCATGACATTCCACTGAAGTGTTATTTTGACGAAGTGCCTTGATTCTGTACAAATACCCAAGACATTGTAGAGCATACTGTCAGTGCTGTGTAAACTTAGCTAAGTTTGGTTCAAATTTTAATTAGCTCAATTGTTTGCTTAAGTGGTATTGGGCAGTGGTATTTCCTTTCAGGCTAATAGACCTAGTAGTTCTCCATATCATCTGTTATCTTGAGTGCCAATATGCGTTATCTTTTGAGAGTTAATCAGTTTCTCTCATACAGTGTCGGTAAAATGAGGCATTTGTGATTTGTAATTTACTTCTCTCAAGTTCTCATTTCCCTTTTCTTGAAATTACTTACTATTGTGTCTGGCTTATACACTCTTGCACTTATGGTTTATGTGTTTATCCCATAATAGGGATGTCTTATGGACTTGTATTCAGGTACATGTATGGATTTCATTCTTCATATCGCCAGAGTCAGATGAGTATGCCTTGACATTCCTGTTAAATATAGACCAGGGAGTGTCTGATGGACCATGTAGGACAGTCACAAACAAAAACAAGTTTCTCTGGTAGGTCTCTTTAACACCTTGTCTTCTTCCCTAATCTAGCAAACAGCCTGGAATTCACATCAAAAATAGTTCACGGTTCAGAAATCCTCAGCTGGAGAAACATTCAGATTTTAGCTGCATGGTCATGTCTTTTTCCATTTTCTTTCTGTACTATTAGAAAAGTGGGCACTGGGGAACAATCGGCTGTTCCTTCCCACAAGCCAACTGTGTTTTCCAAGGTCAGCCATATCTGGGGCTGGGGAGCCACTGAAGCACAGCGTACCATCTCTGTAGCAGGCTGGATTAGGGAAGTGAGGAAATGGACTGGAGGGAAGTGAACGTGGACTTCTCTGTACCTTTTTGACTGAACACACTTTTACTGAGGATCACAAGGAAACACCTTTCCCCTGACAACATTTGTAAAAACTTGACAGAATAAGAGGGAGCTCACCAAATGCTACTGTCAAACAGCTTTTAAGGTTGGCTTCTCTTCCTGACAGATTTGTGACCAAGGGAGAGGACCTAGCATCTCTGGAAAACAAGGCCCACTTGTACCAGAAATATCCCCTTGACCAGAAACGTCTGTAATTTATCAATATGAATTTTTATTCCTTGGAGTCACAAAAATAATTTCTGTTGCTCACTGGATATTTACAGACCTAACTGACGGAAACTCACCCTTGATATATAAGATGGACAAGGCTCCATGAAGTTGGATGCTTGTGAATCTTCCTAGCTGGGGAGCAAAGGCAATGAACAATAGGGTCGAAGGTGACATTTACCACCTGGTAGACTTGTAATGAAGTACCAAGAGTCAACTTGGAAAGAAAGCCAAAGCCAAAACTCTTTAGTTCATTGTTGTGACCATGTCAGTCAAGACTTTCTGGTCAGTATAATTCCATAACACCTCTATTTATGTGAAAGAATTACATCTTTATATAGAATTCCCTTTTCCATCTCTATGTTTGTTTGCCTGACACAGATCCTACTCT